TTCAGCAGCTGTAAGGACTAAAGTTTCTATCAACTGACACTCCTCAAATGCTACTGGCCACACTCCGGACTTGATCAACTCTTTGCAGACATCATACATTCCAGCAGCTGTATCAAGTACAGCTTTATCAATGAGGCCATTTGCATAAGCATAAGGAGCATATTGTCCATACTGAATGAGTGGATCGACCCATCCATTACCGATAGCAATCCCCTTAAGATTAGTGGCATATGCAATGTCAAGTTTTGATATGTACCTACCAATTGCTGGAACATAATGACCAGCATAGCTCTCACCAATGATGTAAAGGTCATGTTCCGAGTACTTTGGGTATTTCTCATAGAACATTACGATAAAGTTCCACAATGCCCCAGCAATCTCACCCTCGTTGGTGTCGTGTTTAGCTTTATCAGTGATAAAAGAGAAACCAGTACCGGCGGGTTGATCCACGTAGAGGAGATTAGCAAAGCTGTTCCAGGAGTAAGGATTGTAAGCCGGGGTATCCGTCGTGTTTAGAAGGAAGGGGCCGTTCTCACCAAAGAGAGCAAGGAGGCTGGAGCAGCCAGGGCCACCAGTCAACCAAAGGACAAGAGGATCGTTGGACGGATCGCTACGACTTTCAAAGAACCAGTAGAAATAGGCAACCCCGTGTTGCTCGGTAAGATCCATGTACCCACTGTACTGGGTGACGTTATCAGGCCATGTATAGCTCAGTGCTGGAGAAGAAGAGAAAAGGAGAAAGGCAGCAAATGCTAAAAGAACAGCCATGCTTGATTACTCGTGACACGGTACGTACTACGCGGTGACAGCAAAAATTATGACTTTATGTCTTTAAATAGTCTAGCCACACCTTGGATAAAACCACACCCAATTAATTCATGTAGCTAGCAAAAATAATAGACTTTATCAAAAACATTTTAACTTAACTATCTATAAGCTAGTAAAGCTACTACACTTTTTCAAAGCATAGTATCTAAGCTCAAAGTGGTAGTTCATGATGGTATATTCCTCCTGCACTAGTGACAGCAAACAATGCATCAATAGTAGCATCAAGCTGAACCACATTAGATGCTGGCAATGCTGGAGATTCCATTTGTTCCCATATACCAGCACAAGGTATAGTGCAATGATACAGCTCATCATCTACTCCAATAGCAAATATCTCATGAGTACCAGCTGTTTCATACTTCATCTGCCCTGGGGTAGTGCGCCATTGACCCCTTCCATGTACTGGACGAAAAGAAATGACATTGGTTGTTTTATTGAGAGCATATACATGTTGTGAGTTAGCATCAATTTGATCAAACTTTCCTGGAACCTTGTGTAGTGTGCTAGTGTAGTGCTGCATCCAAGAAACCTCTTTATTTTATGTAAAACATAAACACCCAGAGCCGGCTCCTGTCTCTCCCTCTCACTCTCTCCTAGTGTCTACTCCACCTCCTGATCATGAACCTCATTTTATTGAGTTCCACTGTATTGATGGTGTCCTGGTTAGATCTATGTTAATGAAGATGGATGGTGCTGCTGGTCCTTCTGGAATGGACGTATCACACTGGAAAAAGGCCTGCTCCTCATTCTCAAAAGACTCAGAGGACTTATGTGATGCTATTGCTATGGTTACTCGAAAGCTGTGTAGTCGGTATGTTGACCCTGCTAGTGTCTCAGCTCTCGCAGCATCTAGACTGATTGCTCTGAATAAA